TTTTGTTTTTTTTTTTACATAGTACCTTGAGAATTATGAATTTTTTTATCCATTACTAACCTTTAATTTAATCAATCATGTACTTTAGTTTAATGTATAAAGATCCTCTAGAAAATGATAATATTGTGTATTAAGACATTCCTTACTTAAATTAGGACAAAATGGCTGCTGTATATTTACAATATTGAGTTCTGAGTTAAGTGCCACCCTTCATACTGGGAACAGAATGCAACCCATGTCAATCAGATGCAGGTGGTATTCACTCATACACCCAGAGTGAGCAATAGGAATTTTCTTGGTGTACCCTTTCTTCCAGCACAGTGCAAGATAGAGTTGCTGTTGATGCCGTATGTTTAGACTGCTGTTCTGACCCTATTTATCTTTCTCTATGCCATTTGGAACTTTATTCCCTAATCCAGTTTTTGCTGCTGTGAAACAGCTTTGATGAACACTAAATATTAATTTGAGTTAGCTGGATTGTATATACTTGCAGATTTAAAAAAAAAAATAGGGAAATTGAAAAAGACATGTAGAATTTTGTTAGGTCTTCTGCTAAGCACGAATAATTAAGATATCTGCTTACATTAATTTTATAAAGTCATTCAGTCAGGATTTAGGATTCAGTCATTGGCAGGTATCAATGCATTCATAGAACTTCTAAGGGTCCCAGGATCACTTTTAAGGGATTTTTTTTTATAGTTTAAATAAAGTCAGCTGAATCTACATGTCTCTTGTTTTATTTCTCTCTAAACTTGAAAACAATAAATCTGCAGATACTGTGAGGCACAGATTATATTGTCAAGCTACTGTTGCTATGGTTATAGACACCCACTTCAGACATTACCAAGAGTCGATCACTGACTTACAAAGTTTTAATTTCTATAGTTAAGATTTACAACATAATATAGAGTGAAAGTTAACATACTAACATTTCTCCTTTGGAGAAAGTTTTAATCCACTTCAGGATGCATATTATCAAGATACTTTCATATACAGGATAGCCTAACTTTATTTGTTTAAATATGCTTAATATGCCCAAGATTGCAAATGCATCCAGTCAGTAATACCACTGTCTGTATGTGGAAGACATGTTCCCATGGATCATATGTGAAGATGTCAATAAGCTTGCATTAAGCCACCTGCTTTGTAAGTGGATTGATTAATAAATAACTTATATTTCTATTGTCTTTGTGTTTCATAATTAGTGTTTATAAAATGGTTGACATCTTGGAGTTCAAGTAATACCCACGTAACTGATATTTGCATAATCTGGTGCTTGTATTCATTTACTTTTGTTTTTTATATTAGTAAATGTCATGATAGAGTAATTTCATTATCAACATGAGTCTATAGAATATGCATGTAGATGGAGGGTGGATGTAGCCTGATGTTAAGACATTTCTGTACTGCAGGGCTCCTGAGTTCCATGCCTGACACTGCAAAAACAGGACAAAGTACCTTTGTCCTGATGACCAGTTTACCTTATAGAAGGTCAGGAGAGAGAGTGCACTGGCAGTGGCTGCTCTCTCACTGGAGAAAAGCCAAAAAGTAGCCTGTTATGCATGCAAGACGCCATTAGCGAGCCCAAATCTGTTCAAGGGATTGAGAACACAGAGAAGTGCTGTATGTGGAGAGATGACTCGGCAGTTAGGAGGGCACCCATGTCAGCTAGTTTCTAAGCTCCAGAAGGATCTAACACCTTTGGCCTCTGTGGGAACCTGCGCTTATGTGTACATACCTAAATGTATACATTAAAACAAAACAACAAAGTTAAAGTGGAGAGAATTCCTTGCTATGGGGTCCTACTGGTGTTTTTCAGAACATGAGAAAATGATAGATTTCTTTCTCACACACATTATATGGGACTTAGCTGTATATCTGTTGACCTGCTTTGTAATTGATACTGATTCATTTATGTTTATTTTACTACTTTATTTTATTTTATTTGAGGCAGGAACTCACTCTGTGAAGACCTGGAATTCATAATGTGGACCAGGCTGCTTCAAACTCACAGAGATCCACCTGGCTCCGCCTCTCAAGTGCTAGAGTTTTCTCTTACACCCCACACAGAGATTCACATACACTGTGCTAAAAATAATAAATACATCTTAAAAAGAGAAGTTGCTTTAATTCCCCAAAGTTTGACCTTTCAAAGCACATGCAGTATCATGAGGTACTGCTAATTTTTCTACTGCACCTGTGTCTAAGCATCTAGTCACAAAATGGGAAGAAACAGTCCTCTTTGGCATTCATGACATCACTAGTTTGCTTTTTCCTTTAGTCACAGGAGATTCCCATCCGTCCGTGTGCTTTTGTGTTATCACCTTGTCACCACAGCAGCAGTATGCGAACACACTGCTTAATGCTATGTTATAGTCAGCTACTGCTGGAGGCTGTGGACTGATGCCCTCTGCTCTACAGTTACATTTGTGTGGTGGTGTGTGTCTAGAAGCTGTGTCACTGTGCGCCCTTCTCCACTGCTTCCTGTTAGCTGGGGCCATGCTATTTTTGTCTACCTAGTTTTTTGTTCGTGTTTGTTTGGTTTGGTTTGGTTTGGGTTTGGGTTTTGGTTTTTACAGGCTGGCCTTGAACTCACAAAGACCCACCTGCCTTTGCCTCCTTGTTCTACCTAGTGATTTAAAAGTAGTTTTCTTGCCAAGACCTTGCTCTGGATATACTGTCTTTTGTAGGTAAACATTCTGACTGCTGTCAGGACATCTGAAGATCACCAGTTGTGTCTGATTCTTGCTTCCATGTTGTATAAACATACCCTTCAAGACTCAGCTAAATTGCAAAATATCTGGAAATGGCCAAGGCACTCAGTTTTGTTTTTTTTTGTTGTTTTTTTTTCATCCAAAGCATGTACCATTACAGCAGTGAGAATTCAGATTTAAAGGGATCACACGTTCCAACCACTGTAGTATGTTAGCCAAATTGTGTCCCCACAAGAAGACAAGAACATAGAGATAACCAGCAACGGAAGTTTTATTGGAGGTCACAGAAATGCCCTGTATGTGTATCTATTAGTGTTTTGTGACAAACCACCACAAAACTTGGTTTCAGGCACATTGATTCACAGTGCTCAGTTTGGGCAATGCTAATGGAGTCTAGCTCATCTTTCCCTGTGTTCTTCCTGTGGCTGCAGTCAGCTTGACCGTGCTACTGGAACAGACGGCCCAGTATTGCCCACCGTAGACATCTGATGCTCTCACTGGGATGTTGAGAACACCTGACTGGGGTCTTTTCACGGTCGTCTCTCTAGCAAGGGTACACAGGGATCCTGAAGCTGCCAGGCCTCCTTAGGGAGTATCAAGTCTAGCTTAAGTGAGGGGCAGGTAGAGGGCCCCAGACCAACACAGTCTGGTTACTTTAAATCCAGCACAGCTCAGGTGGTAGAGTCCCTAGGACTCAGGAAACCCTGGCTTCTGACTGCCAGTGCCGTGTATATAACAATTGTGGTAATGCATGCCTGTATTCCCACTAATGAGAATACATAATGGAGGCAGGAGAATTAGAAATTCAAGGTCATCCGTAACTACACCAGCTTAAGATGAGTGAGACCCCTTGTAAAATTCACTGCAGTAACTTAAAAGCACAGCCCATTGTTTTGTTAAATGCATCATTTCATTTAACAATAAATGTCTTGTGTTGCCAAACTGGCCCTGAAACCGTGAGCTGAAAGAATCTTCCTGCCTTAGCCTCCCAAGTAGCTGGAATTACAGGCGTGTGCCACAGTACAAACTACAGAGCACATTTCTTTCCCAACCCAAACCAAAGCTTTCCAGGAAGAGGCGGCTATTTATGACATCTGTCATGTCCGGAGTGATGGACAGAGCAGCCACAGAACTTTCATTTCCCATAGCAGGTATTTAAGAGAAAGAAATTAATGGAATATAAACAGCTGTTTCTACTCCTTTGATTCCCCACATCCTTGTGTAATTTTGATGGTGGAGGACTTCTGTCTTCCAGGTGGGAATGTCGGACACTGGTCCTTTAGACTCAGATTGGAAATGTGAGATAGGCTACAGCCAAGGGGTTTGGGGAGCATCGGTCCTGATCAGTTAGCCTTATTTCAGGTTCTCCAATCAGTGTTTGTTATTTCCCTAATAGAAGAGACTTGAACTAATAAGGAGTGATGGGGAAGCCTGATGTGAGTCAAGTTTCACATGGAGCCTGATCTGCTGGTCCCTGGACCATTTTCTGTGTTGTTTTCATCTCCTGTGTGCTGCTGACCACATCTTCAGGGCTTTGCACATGCACTGTACCACTAAGCGACAGCCACCTTGGTCTTCTTTCTCTGGTTTGATCGCCACCTTTTATCCCCCAGGGTGACATTCTGTTCTTTGGCCTCTTCTCACTGTCGGCAACTTGGGATACACCTTATTTTTCTTTTGAAACCTTGCGCAGGCCACATTGTGAGTCCGGCTGTATTGTGCTGGGACTCACACAGATCACTTTTAGCTTGATTTGTGACTCTGTTGGGGATCTGTTGTTTTAATGAAGGCTGAATGAAGCACGCATTCGATTCTCGATCATCTTATAGCCCTCAACCACCTGGAGACAATGGCTCCAGACACTGGTCCCGAGACCAAACCAATCCAAACTCCCAAGTGGAGGTTTCCGGAAGAGGAAACAAACTCAGAAGTAGCATTTCCAGGCTGTTCTCTGGAGTCCATTTCTAACCACCCAGAACAAACTTCTAAAGACATCTGTCCTTAGGTGAGGTCCGTCCCTCTTCCCCCCCTCGCCAATTCAGACCATCTTCCAGTGGGAGGAAAAATTATATTATCTCTAGGACTAGGGTTTAAAAAGGAAATTGTAGTCAAGGTCACCACAAAGCCCTATGGCCTCGCCGGTTGCTATGACAAGCAAATAAAAGTCAGCCAATCAACGTGCAGAAAGGCCTCCCGGCTTAGCCAATGGGGGGCGCGCGCCGCGAGTGCGGCCACCCAATGGGGCATGAGCAGCGCGGTATTTGAATCGCGGACCGGGCCGTGGGAGGGGAGCAGCGAGGCCCTGAGACGCCCAACGGTGCGGCGGACCCCGCTGGCTGCACCTCGTCCCCACTTCCCGGGCGGCCCTCATGGCGCTGCTCCGACGCCCGACGGTGAGTGCGCCCGGGCTCCGGTGTCCTGCCCTGCCCGGCGGCCGGGAGGCTGCAGGCGAGGCCCCGACCGGGCCAGAGCTGGCCAGAGGCCTGGGGTCTCCATTGCTGTCACCGCTCAGGGCTGCGCTGGGGATGAGGACCGGGAGGAGCTGGGAAGAACCGGGGAGCCGTCCCAGTGCCATCTCTCTGCTTTTCACACTTTTCGGTTTGCTTTGTTTGAGCTTCCCCCGTTCGCGCCTGCACACTGCCTTCCTGGCCAAGTTCATTAAAGTGTGGGTTTGCCCTCTTGAAAAACAAAACAAACCCCTACCCAAGTGTAAAAGGAAAAGTACCAACATTTGGACCCTAGGATTGCAGACGGTTGGGGGCGGGGAGGGGGAGTCCAAATTCATTTAATCTTTTTGAGAATGAAAGTATTGCTGACTTAGGTTTGACTCGTACCTGGGTCTGCTTTGTTGAAAACAAGAGCGCACTGACACAGCTGGCTGCCATTGACCTCTAGTTAAAAATTGCTAGCTCCTCTTCCGCGTCAATTCAAACGTAGTCCTCATTACCAGGCGTTAACTCAGAAGACACTGAACTTTCAGGCATACTGTGCAATTAGCAGTGGGGTGCTAGCAGTCAGGTCGAACAGCTTGGCTACTGGGATCAGAATCCTAAGCAAGAACATACAGTCAGGGTTCATGTCTTGTAGCTAACCGCCAGTAACAAGCAAGTCTTGTCTAGTTGCCCCTTCCAAGTTATCTGGTAGTTAAAGTCCTTCTCTGGGGATGGGCTGCAGTTTTAGCTGGGCTATCTTGATGGGTCAGCTTAAAAGATATCCTATTGGAAAGTTTTTTTTAGGCTCAGGGAGTCCCTAACTCTCACGGACTTTTTCCCATAAATATTTATTACTTTGCCACAGTGTAAACTTTGGGTATGGAAAGCAAATCTTATTTCTTAGCTATATTTTGGATAAAGTCAATTAAGGTCAACTGACACTATATATGTTTGTTTTCTTTTTCGTACAAGTTTAACTCTCCCAATATTTAAGAGGTAAAATTCTTTACCCATTCTGTTGTCATTGTAAATGTTTTTGAGAGGGTTTGTGCTTTAAAAAGCTGTGTTTCTGAAGGTCCATCTCTATGGGTGCCATTTCTTATTCTTTGGTTGGCATTATAATCCATAAACTAGTGTTTAATCTGAAACATGGAGTTTTAAACAACTGGACTTATTATTAAATACTGGTATCAAAGCTCTATCATTACAGATACACTCTGTGAAGGGAGGTTTCTAAGTAAATGACTTAACACTAGGATCACTTAACAAGAGACAGGTTATTTATGAGAAGTAATTATTTCTCATAAATGTTTGTGAGTGTTTGATGTCTTAAAAACTGCTTGAATACAATTTATAAGATTGGTAGGGAGATCTTTGTGTTATAGGTAAAGAGGTGGGTGATTTGCCTAATTGAGAGTGATATTTCAAATTCTATTTTTAGATTTCCTAAAATGTACCCTTTTTCCCTTAAAAAATGATTAAGTTAAAAAAAAAAGCTCTAATCCCAGTACTCAGGAGGCAGAGAGACAGGCAGAACTCTGTTAGTTCTAGGCCAGCCTTGTCTACAGATCAAGTTCCAGGACAGCTAGGATTGTTACACAGAGAAACCCTGTCTCGAAAAATAAAACAAAACAAATTAAGCTTTTATTTGAGGTGCATAAATAAAGTGCACCGAGTGTGTAGTGCTGCGTCGGCTGGAGAGCACGTCAGATCCCCTGGAACTGGAGTCACAGACAGTCGTAAGCTGCTGTGTGGGTGCTGGGAATTGAACCCCAGTCCACAGCAGGAGCAGCCAGTGCTCTGACCTACTGAGAGCCATATCCAGCTGCTCCTTTCCCTTTTAAAACAGAGTTCAGCATTATTCACTTTTCCTAGAGAGGCTCTGAATTGGAGTATCTGACATTAGGTCAGTAGGTATTTTTCATTGTCTCTGTGTTTAATGGCTTTTTTTTTTTTTTTTTTAATTTGTTTGCTTGTTGTTGGCTGTGTTTTGTTTTGTTTTAAGGTGTCCAATGATTTGAAGAATATTGACACAGGACTTAATTCGAAAGCTAAGAGCCATGTGACTATCCGGCGGGCAGTTTTAGAAGAAATTGGAAATAAAGTTAGAACCAGAACCACAACCACCCAAGTGGATAAGGTAATAAAGGTAATGCGACAATTGAGGAGAGCCACACCATACGGGGCCTGCACTGGTGGCCTCGTCCTGCTCACTGTTCTTCCCCTTATAGAAACCTCAAAACATCAAAGTACCAGTTCAGCCCACCAAAGTGACAAATGTCAACAAACAGCCGAAACCTACAGCTTCTGTGAAACCAGTACAGATGGAGGCGCTGGCTCCGAAGGTAGGAGGCCCTGATTTACAGCCTGCACTTAAATCCTTTCATTTTATTTTTATGGCTACGGGTGCTTTGCCTGCACAACGTGTGCACTGTGGTTGAGCCTGGTGCCCTCAGGACAAAAAAGAAGGCATCAGACCCCTTGAAACTGAAGTTATCAATGGTTGTGAGCTGCCATCTGGGTGCTGGGCACAAACCTGGGTCCTCTGGAAGAGCAGCCCGTGTTCTCAAGCACCCAGTCATCTTCTCCAGCCCCCAACGTGGTGGGTTTTACGAAAATAATACACAGTTGGAATGACTTCCTTACAGCTGGAAGCCCACTGTTCTGATTCTGAATCCCATGTAAAAATAACATAATACCTCAATTCGCCGTTGATTAATGGTGGTCTCTTATGACTGAGTGGCTCAGTTGGAGTTAGAATGTGAAGGGACGTGGTGGCTTGCTTACCTGTTTTCTTTAAGTTCAAGTCTGTATATCCTCCCATACAGCTATTGTGAGATAGAAATTGTCTGTGTGCCAAGATATAGTAATAATCACTTCATTCTCTGTGTCTCTCTGTCATGTGTGTTTGTGTGTGTGTGTGTGTGTGTGTGTGTGTGTGTGTGTGTGTGCTTCAAATGACGACTTTCCACAGCTGCTTTCCTCCTTTCTCCATGTGGGTCCCAGGGTTAAGGTGGCAGCAAGTGCCTTTATCCACTGAGCCATCTCACAGGACCATTCTCTCTCCTCCCTCCTCACTCACCTCGCTTTCAGGGTCTTGCAGTGTAGCTCAGGCTGACCTCAAACTTAGAGCAGTCTCTCTGCCTTGCCCCTCCTAAGTGCTGGAACCACAGGCATGTGTTGCCACCATGCCTGGCCGATGACTGTCTCTTATGTGACAGAAATAATAACTGGGAGATCAGTCAATACATTTAATGAGATCCTATGCACCCACAGATGAGAACTAGTACAGCATTTAAAGATGTCAAAATGTCTGGAACATTAAGTGGCAAAATGAGATTATAACACTTATCGCCTGTGTAAAATCAGATTCGCTCTTAAAAGGATGCAATTGTGTATAATATTAATGGCAGAATTATTTTTGAATATTGACTTTCATTCAAAAATTTCAGGCTGCCTGGAGGTGGTGGTGCCCACCTTTAATACCAACACTTGGGAGGCAGAGGCAGGAGGATCTCTCTGAGTTTTCCGTCAGCCTGGTCTACAAAGTGAGTTCAGGACAGCCAACACAACACAGAGAAACCCTGTCAGGCTCCAGGGTCAAGAGATGTAGCTCAGCTGGTGGTGTTTGCCCAGCAGTGCACGAACTAGTCATGTTGGCCCCCATCTGTAATCCTAGCAGAAGGGTCAAAGTTCAAGGTCATCCTTGGCCACATAGGAAGTTCTAGGCCAGCTCAGCCTATGCTGCTTTGTCTATAAATGAATGAATGAATGAGGTTTTCACATAAAACAATCAAAGAAGAAAGGCAACTATCTGTCCATCAAGATGGGTAGCAGCTCATCTGTGGAAACTAGCATGTAAAAGACCCAGAAGTCAGTCCTCAACATTGAGAAATAAGAGTGTTATAAAAGAAAAAAGAAGCTGGGCATTGTGGCGCACACCTTTAATCCCAGCACTCAGGGAGACAGGCAGGTAGATCTCTCTGAGTTTGAGACAGCCTGCTCTATCTATGAAGGGAGATCTAGGACAGCCAAGGCTACACAGAGAAACCCTGTTTTGAAAAACAAAGAAGAAAGACAGTTGTTTCTTCCTGTGACCTTCAATGTGCCCCTCTTTCTGGTTTCCTTTATTCTATGGCTGACTGCTTTTTCTCTGTTCTCTAACAGAATTGAGGCCACTCTTTCAGACACAGCATAGGTTAAGAACTCAGTCTATCTAAAAGTCACCTTGGGGCCAGAGAGAGAGGCCTCAGTGGTCGAGTGCACGTGCTCCTCTTACAGAGGGCCGGAGTTGGTTCTCAGCGCTGGAGTTGGGTGGCTCACATAACTTCAGCTACAGGGGCTCCACTCTGGCCTCTGTGGGCACCTGCACACACACATACGTGTAACCAAAAAACAAATGCTAAAACACCACTTGTATGTGCTGGACGTTGTGACTTTAGAAGTTTCCAGGGATTGAGGAGCAGTTAGTTATTTCAACTCAGACACTGATTTCAGAGTCTCAGTGCTGGGATCATCAAGTCCGAAGTGTAGACAGTGTAGGTACAAGAGCCGCACGCCTGGCAGGAGAGCCTCCTCCTGCTGAGCCCTGGCTGATACCTGCCCTACAGGTGTCTCTGCCGCCACCTTATACACACTGCCAGTGGAGCCTAGCAGTGCCAGGAGCGTCCCCAGAATGTCCATGGAAGCAGATGTCTCCAGAATGAGAGCTGTGCAAACCTTGCTGTGTGGATGAGGCAGCTGCTTCTCAAATGGCTAAGACTTCATTCGGGCACCCACGGTCTTTATCACGCAGCATTTGGGGATGGACACCAGTGCTCTTCCGAGTTACAAGCCTTGCTAAACACTGAGTAGTTTGAGGGAAGAAGGGTGTTGGCTCTGCACTGGGCAGGTAGGTAGCTAGCGTCCAGGCAGACCAGGAAGCTCAGGGTCTACTCGGGAAGGTCCACTCCCTCCACAGCATTACAAAAGCAGCGTGTGCTGGCACTGAGAGGGTAGGATGGAGAGTCAGTTCAAGTTCATGGAGTTCAGAGTCAGCCTGGGCTACGTGGCACCCTGTCTCAAGAGAAAGAAGAACTGCAAGTGAAAAATAATAAGCCCAGTGCACTTGGTTTTGTAAATGCAAGAAATGAAATGCACAAGAAACAACTGTAGAACGGAAACAGGTAGAGCACAGAGGGCTAAGCCCCCTGGTGTCAGGTGCCGTGTCCCTGAAGGTGCCTGGTTCCAGCGAAGGCTCTGCTTGCACCACCGCCTTGCTGAGCGACCACGTGTGCTTGTCCACTGCGCCGCGTTTGCGTGTTCAGAGTCGGCGTTCTAGTGCTGCACTTTTCCACCCTAAGTAGAGTGAATTGCTGGGCTTGGCGGTCCACCCCGTGTTCCCAGCACGGAGGCTGAGGCAGTAAGAGTGGAAGGGCCAGGACAGCCTGGTGCTACACAGCAAGACCCTGCGTCCGGAAGAAGCCTGCCCGGCAAAACCTGAGCTCACTGCGCTTGCGCCTTCTGCCACCTCACTCCCCACCCTGCCTTCCGCCCCTCCAAATAAGAGGCTCCTGAGTTAAGGCTGGTGGCACATTCCTGGCTTCTGATTGGGCTTTTCAGTTGTCTCTGACAACCAATAGGCTTCTTCCTTAGTCTAGCATGAAGGCTTTAATTTGCATACTACTGTCATTTTAAAATGTTTTTTTTGGGGGGGGGGGAGTGTTTTGGGCATTTTTTTGTTTTTGCTTTTGTTTTGTTTTGTTTTTGAGACAGGATTCCTCTGTGTAGCAGCCCTGGCTGTCCAGGAATTTGCTTTGTAGACCAGGCTGGCTTAGAACTCAACAGAGGTCTGCCTACTCTGCCTCCCAAGTGCAGCTTCACCGCACCTGCCCTAAAACTGCTTTTAGTAATTCAGTTTTAAGAGCAAATGTTTAAACTTCTGATCCTAACTAATGTTTAAATTTCATGTTTATGATATTTTTTTTTACTGATACATAAAAATGACACTTGTTTTTGAGGCCATGTGACCTTTTAAAACACACACACACACACACACACACACACACACACACTATAACATGCAACTGAAGATTAAACGTTTATCATTTCTCTCTGGGACCATTCTTACCGGGGAAACATGTCCTTCCTCTTAGCTGTGGAGAGGTGCAGCATGTTCTGAGGGACAGCGGCCAGGAGCAGCACAGGCTGCCTTCAGGAAAGGGCCTGTGAGGGGGGGTTCTGTTCTGAAATTTACTCTGTTGACCAGGCTGGCCTCGAACTCATAGAGATCTGCCTGCTTCTGTCTACCACGTGCTGGGGTGCTGGGGTTAAAGGCGTGTGCCGCCACTCCCAGCGAAGTCTTCCTTTTCTGTCTGCAGTTGGCCATTGCTAAAGGTAGCTCCAGAGACGAGTTGTGTGCTGTGCCGGTGCTGGGAGGGCAGGAATCTAGAAAAGCAAGTTGCCTTAGCTCTGGGAGCCAAAGCACTTTAGTTTCAGTAATTGTCAGTGTTCAACTAAAAGAGAGGAGCTTTCCATGGCTACCAGCACGGTTGCCCTCTGTTGTCCTGCTGTGCCCCAGCATACCTCCGACTCCCGTGACTTAGAGCCCGCTGACCGTGGTCTCCACCCTACCCTTTCCTCTACTCTCCAGCATCCGGTAACCGTTCCACGCAGCCCAGAGATCCCAGCTTCCCCGTCACGGGAGTGAAGTGATGCAGCACCAGTCTTCACCTTTGTTGTCATCTTATCGTATTATTTCAACACTGCAATTTTGAGACAGACTCCCACTATGCAGCATAGCTGGCCCTGAACTCGCTCTGTAGCCCAGGCTCACCTGAGCAATGATGCTCTGGGCGCCTCACCCAGGTTCACTTATTTAAACTATACAGCAGACACCGCACAGACCATGCAACCCTTAGGTCTAAACAGTGACAGTCTTGGAAAGAGTTCACTCCCCCCCCCCGGACACTGCACCGTACCCATCCTAGTTCCCTGAGGTTTGTAAATTCTGAGTAAGTGGCAGGCATGTCTGCTTCGCCCTTGTTGGCCTGGGCCTTTCTCAGGGTGTCCCTTCAAGAGGCAGAGCGTGTTCTGAGCTGGCCTCCTCTCACCCTCCACCCCTCGTTTCTTACTAGAAATTCTTACTCTTCAACTTAATTAAAATTACCTGTGTGGTTTTGTTTTATTTTTTGCTGTTTTTGAATTATGTTCTCACTCTAACCTAGGTTAACCTGGAATTCCATCGCTCTGTAGCTCGGGCTGGATTTCAGCTCTAAGCTATCCTTCTACCCCGGTCTCCCCAGTACCGAGATTGCAGGCCTGAGTAGGCACACCCATCTTTTAAACCTGCTGGACTTCATGAACTGTGCTCTAGTCTTGTGCTTTATTCCCTTAATACATGTTCTTTATGGTCTAGAAGTCCTGTTCGGCAATTGCATAAGGGCCACTTACTCTTTTTGAAATAATGGTTTATTTATACTTCATTATGAAATATTTGTTTGAGCTGCTTAACTTTTTGTGTTAATTTTATAAGTAATCATTCTGTCAGCATAAGTACATAAAGTACAGGGCTATGTCCTTGCTAAAGTCTTTGTCCTCCTGCTTTATCCACGGACTGGAATATGCCCTTCTATTCTCTGCTTGCCAGGGTCTTAATTTAGATGGAAGTAGTGGAATAGATAGATCATGAGTGCGGGAGAGGTTGCTGCCAGGGAGCCATCAATCACAGTGTTCTCTGCCCCTGTGGTCACTCGCATCCCTTGCTGAATATCTACTGTGTGAGGGCTAACATAAGAGTGAACACAGCTATCTGATTAATACCCAGAAGCTGACAGGAGACAGGAAACCAGCCACACGTTGTAGCAACACTGAAGGATGCCGGGTACTGGCTCTCCAGCGGTGTGCTAAATAAAGTCTTCCACTTACAGGTACAGGATCCTTTGCCCGTCCCTGAAGATGTCTCCATGAAGGAGGAGAGCCTCTGCCAAGCGTTCTCTGATGCTCTGCTCTGCAAGATTGAGGATATAGACAACGAGGACGGAGAGAACCCTCAGCTCTGCAGCGACTACGTGAAGGACATCTACCAGTACCTTAGGCAGCTTGAGGTGGGCAGGCCTTTATGATTGGGTTGGATAAGCAGTGTGGACTTTAGCAGGGACGTGGGGAGGAAATGACATCAACTTGTTACACTTTTGAATTCCGCCAACAGGTTTTGCAGTCCATCAACCCACACTTCTTAGATGGAAGAGATATAAATGGACGTATGCGGGCCATCCTGGTGGACTGGCTGGTCCAAGTCCATTCCAAGTTCCGGCTTTTGCAGGAAACACTCTACATGTGCATCGCCATCATGGACCGGTTCCTGCAGGTGAGGACGGCTGCTGGTAGCCCGGGAATGTGGCCCTGATGCTTCTCAAATGGAAAGTGAGCTGGGGCTCCTGAAGGAAAAGACTGGCAGCAGTGCTGAGAAGCCAGAGAATTTCAGTTGCTAAAATGGGAGTAGGCCAAAGCTGTCGGGCCCTTGATGCTGCCGAACAACTCTGGGCAATCCTGTTAGCCCGTGAGCAAAGGCCCCAGAACACATAGGCGAAGTACCCTTTCTTGAACTGCTCTGGCCAGAATTTTTTTTTTTTTTTAATTTGATTTTATTTGCGCATAGATAATGGAAGTATCTTGGGGATGGGCCCTGGTTCTACTCCTGAGCTGTGAGGTCATGCATGTATACCTTATACTACCAGCATAAAGGTAGTTTTATTCATTAATTTTAGCGTGCTTATGTTTTGACTGCAGCTTGTCACGTGAGGACAGGTATTGAATTTTTCACATATGGGTGTCATGTCAACATTCAGAACATTTTGGGTCTTGGAGCATGCTGGGTTTAGGAGATTTGGTTCATAGCTGCAGTCACTCTCTGGGGAAAGTATGCCATCGAGTGGCGCAGAAGCGAGCCGAAGCCTGATGGCTTTGATGCAGATGTTCCGCCCTGCCCCTGCCATTTTCAATATCTGATCTTCTCGGTGTCAATGTTTCCTTACCTCAGAACGAGCTGAGCGAAAGAGTCAGTCATTCAGTGGCTTCTAGAATTGAAATACAATTCACTGAAATGAGACCAAATTCTTCCAAAAACAAGGAGCAGGGATACTGGTGAAGGGCTGACAGAGAATCTCCAGCTGCTTTTGAAATATTTATCATCACCTGTTAATTCACAAGCTGCTGAGTGGCTAGACGAGGCATCAGATATATTCTTTTACTTCCTGGCTACTGACAGTGGAGCCCCACAGCTTTGAGCCTGTGAAGCGAGCAACTCTCCACTGAGCTCTACACCCAGCCCTGAGGGAGGAGCGAGGGTCCGTCTACATCAGCGCCCTTGCAGACACGGGCTCATTTAAAGGTCAATACTCATGAAATACGGTTAGGACAAGTACGATATGGTGACAGTTATCACTTAAATTCCAGACCCCTGGAATTATACTCACTGGGCAGGAAAATGCAATAATATTTTATATAGACCTCGGTAATGAAAGCAGAAGCAAGAAGAGCAAAGTCCTAGTTAAAAAGGAAACCTAGAACAATCACACTTTCCTTGGGTTACCACAGCACACAGGGAGAGGGAAGACAACAACTTGGGAATTTGTTCACCTCTGTCGTGTGGGTTCCAGGAGTTGACCTCAGGTCATCAGGCTTGGCAGCGTGCCCCTGTACCCACTGAGGTCTCTCTCTGCCCTTCTGTTTTAAGGGATTTACACTTACATGCAGCACCTGTGGAGGAGCTGGTCCCTCCTTCCACCTGGTGGATTCCAGAACTCAGGTCCAGGTTTGCAGCTGTCAAACCTGTGCAGCTGACCTGCCCCACCAGCCCTACTTTAGGAGGTTCAAAGCACACACTAAACACTGTAGTGCACCGAGGTCCTTCCCCCATCTCCGAAGCATTGATGAGAGATTTTGTGCGTCTTTTGCTATTTGTTTTGATAGCTTTTTCAAGGTGGTTGTACTTTGGGTACAAGGGTGTACTTTGGGTAGGGAATATTTCAGTCCACCATTCATTTCCCTTTTTTTTTTTTTTTTTTTGGCGCTTTATCTCTGTACAGACCACACACACAGTCAGTACAGGTCAAGGCCACTGAGGACACTTAGACCGTTACCTAGATCTTTGGTGTCAGGTCATCTGTTGTAAAAATGACCTTTCCAGGGTTTAAGGGAGGACCCAATGAAATGGTGTGTATTTGAACTTTCTCACTGGGCCCAGCAGTCACTACAGTAACATTGTGTGCTCTATGATGGCTCTTACTGCCACCATCCAGGTCTCCTGTGACCTGCAGGAGCCTGGCTTCTCACCCTGTCCACTGGCGCCCCAGCCAGACCTGGTGGGTGGTGACGAGATATATTTGTCTTCAATTAGGCTCAGCCGGTCTGCCGGAAGAAGCTGCAGCTAGTTGGGATCACAGCTCTGCTCTTGGCTTCCAAATATGAGGAAATGTTTTCTCCAAATATTGAAGACTTTGTTTACATCACAGACAATGCTTACACCAGTTCCCAAATCCGAGAAATGGAGACTTTGATTTTGAAGGAGCTGAAATTTGAGTTGGGCCGGCCTTTGCCACTCCACTTCCTAAGACGGGCCTCAAAAGCCGGGGAGGTGAGTGGGGAAGTTGACTTGTACTCAGTCTCACCCCAAAACATAAGACAGCGGTTCTCAACCTGTGGGTCACAAACCCTTTGGGGTCACTTAAGACCATCGTCTTATCAGATATTTACATTATGAGTCAGAACAGTAACGAAGTTACAGTTCTGTGGTAGCAATGAGAACAGTTCTATGGTTGAGGTCACCGCAGCAGCAGCATGAGGAGCTGTATCAAAGGGCCACAGCATTAGGAAGGCTGAGAACCGCAGCCTGAGGAGAAAGCTTCCCTAGAGAGGCGGGCGGGCCCCGAGGCCTCCCTCCTCTGTGGAGACACTCAGAGGGCGCTGCTCTCCAGGTCGACGTGGAGCAACACACGTTAGCCAAGTACCTGATGGAGCTGACGCTCGCGGACTACGACATGGCGCACTACCACCCCTCCCAGGTCGCAGCCGCCGCTTCCTGTTTGTCGCAGAAGGTGCTGGGCCAAGGAAAATGGGTGAGTGGGAGAAAGGAGGCTGCACCTGGAGCCTTGTGGCATGCACTCTGGTCCCAGCGCTTGCAAGGCACATGCTCTGAGCCATTCCCTCCGCCCACAGTGCAGAGGGTGCATGGCTGGGCCTCAAGCTTAGAATGGCACTGCCAACCTGGCTGTGAGGCAGAGTGCACTCTGGAGAGAAGGGGTGTGTGTGTGTGTGTGTGTTTCCACTCTGCCCCTTTTTCCAGCAAGGGGTGGCAAGTATGCTTGCTGCTGGGGTGTCCTCCAAACGTGTGCAGCTCTCCATGCTGTATGTGCTGGGGAAATGGCTGGACAGGGGAAGACTAACTGAGTTTTACATGGTAAGAGTTTTCCCACTGCTTTAAAATTAAATTAATAATTCAATTAATTTTTAATTTTGGTGGTATTGGGGATTGAGCCCAGGCTCTCACACAGGCGAGGCATGTGCGGTCACAGCTCTATCTCCAGTTGTCTGTGATACAGGGTTTCACTGGGATGCCCTTTCAGATCTTGAAGAGTCGGTAGCCCTGCTTCCTGACAGCTCTTACACAGATGGGGCGTGTAGGAAAGGCAGGAAGCATGCTGCCCCTTCATGTCCTCCTGGTTGTATTTCAGAACTTAAAGCAGCAGTACTACACGGGATACATGGAGAGTGAAGTCCTGGAAGTCATGCAGCACATGGCCAAGAACGTGGTGAAAGTCAACGAAAACCTCACAAAGTTCATCGTAAGTGCTGGGGTCCTGGGCAGTGTGGAAGGGTGCCCCTGGCAAGCACGTTGTCTGACAGTCTGTAAGGAAGGGAGCGCGCTGACCGGCTCCCCTCGGCTAGCGCCAGCCAGTGTGCGGTCAGCCAGCCCGTGGCTTCCCACCCTTGCATCAGAGTCCCGAGTAGGGCAGAAGCCGAGAGGGCTGTTTCCCGTGGATCTGGGGAGAGACAGCCCCCTCTAGTGAACAAACATGGAGAAGGGAGACGGTCCTAAGAGGGGAAACTTGGGGGTGTGCTGGGCCTGTGGGACAGAAAATGTCAGAATACTCGTCAGGATCCAGTGAGAGAGAACAAAAAAGCATTTGTGTCCTCACCACAAGACTGCTTGCTAACAGACTTGTGGTCTGACTGCAAACTGCAGAGGCACACTAGCTGGGATTTGGACTAGTTGCCACACACTTTTGTCTTTCTGGTTTTTCTGAGACAGGGTTTCTCTGTGTAGCCTTGGCTGTCCTGGACCAGGCTGGGCTCAAACGCACAGCTTGCCTCTGCCTCCCAGAGTGCTGGGATTACAGGCGACCACACGCTTTTATTGCCATATGTGTGGGGGGGTTTTGCCTGCGTATCACATACATGCCAGAAGAGTGTCTGATCCCCTAGGACTGGAGTTACAGGCTACAGATGGTTGTGGGCCCCTGGATGTGGATGCTGGCACTGAACCCAGCTTCTCTCAAGAGCTGCCAGTGCTCTTAACTACAGAGCCATCTCTCCAGCCCCTATTTCCAGTTGGTGCCGCCCTTCCCAGTATGACTTAGCAATGACAGATATCCTGAAACTCTATTTCCCCAGTTGTCTGTGTGACCCGCAGGGTTGGAGGGGCCAACCTGGTCCAGGGTGTTAAGAGGGAGAGGCCCAGGGCTGATGCATCATCAGACTATCTAGAGACGGCAGTCATAGCCCTTCTCACCTGTGGGACAGGCTGGGTACACCCTGAGGTGCTGAAACATACTTAACCACAGCTGACTTCTGCAGGCGGTCAAGAACAAGTACGCCAGCAGCAGACTGCTGAAGATCAGCACGATCCCTCAGCTGAACTCCACAACCATCAAAGACCTGGCCTCCCCTCTGCTGGGCAGGCCCTAGGCAGTCGGGCTTCCGCCCTGCTCTTCTCGGATTTTGTACATACTTTAGTTTACTTCACCAGATCTCTTCTCAGCCTAATTTTCTAATTGTGTATTGAGGAAAAATAAAGCTATTGATTTTCTTAAGGCATCCCGTGTATACTTGTATACTCTATACTGAAGAAATGTAGAGTGGCCTACCCTAACTGTGCTCCATATTGATGAAAAATAAAGCTATTGATTTTCTTAAGGTATCCCGTGTATGTTTGTATAGTCTGCACTGAAGAAATGTAACCTGAGCTATTATAACCATGTTTAGCTTTTGAATGGGTGTAAGTAGCAGATAGAGCTTTGTATTCAGATGAAAATTAGCTCTTGGGGACAGAGATTGACAAGCAGTCCTTTTAGAGTCTTTAAACTTTAAGGTCATGAGTAAGTGACAGTGAGCATACAGGATCAAGCCAAGAAAGTATCTGTTTTTTCCCTAACCCAAGGCAGTCCCTGGCTAGACTTGGTGACCAACGGCTTGGATGCCTGTATCCAAAATCAGGTGCTGTGTGCCTGAGAAATGGAGGGAGATAGCCCCCAAATCTTATTACCCTCTTTTTTCTTTAGGCTCTGCTAACAAGAGGACTAGAAATAGAGGTGGCTGCGTTCGTGCATGTAAATGTCTCAATTGAGACCACACCTGACCAAAAGGGTTTTGTTTGTTTTTTGAGTATCCGAGGATCTAATTCTACCTAGGGTTTGAGAAGGCTGCTGAGTGGAGACTTCAGAGGAATCTTGGAATAGATGTCTCAGCCAGGGCTCTCTGCTTTCTCTAGTCAGCCTGGATGTGCTTGTCCAGCCTGTCAACAGGGAGCAGCTAGTACCAGCTAGTGTGCCCTACAGAGGCTGGGGCGAGACAGTGGGCTTTCCACAGCTGACCCTCCAGCCCCTTGCCGTCTCTTGCTTTCCTCTTTAGTCTTCCTTAGGGCCACATTGTCATCTTGTTCTTGCCCATTGGGGCTCAGGGCCAGGTCCTCTATGGCTCCATTTGTCGATGCTACCAGACCTTAAAAACTCTTGATTTGCCCTAAGAACCACTTTCTTGTGAGCCCCACCAGATGCCAGAAGCCCCATTTACCAAGCTCATTGAACACAGCTAACGTGATGGCCACTGCTCTGCTATAGTCACACACTCTCATAACCCAAGGTCAAAGCGCGCAGTGATCAGGAGCTCCCCAAGGTCACGGAGCTGGAGGTAGCCAGATTCCGAAAGGCCAGCCAGTGGTCTACTAAGGAGAGCCTAGAGCTAAGATTCATCATGAATAGCTTCTACGAAGTTCAGGGTCGGGAGCTGCCTCATTCTGGGACCTGTCCACCCACCAGTTCAGGAATTCTAGTGTTAGTCATTTGCAGAAATCTCAGAGAAGCAATTTTAATTACCAGCCACAACTGGCACACAGGCCTGGCACTGCCTCTGGTGACCAGCACATTACTTACTATCCGGTCCCTGGATGAACAGGTTGGTGGCTTTAGGGAGCTTCACACCTGTGATGGGACCCTTAGTCTAGTGTCATGCAACGAAAAGAGGGTACTTACAGTTCATGGGTCCTTTCAGGCTGGCCGGCAAGGTTTTAGGCCCTGGCTAGGCCTGTATTCAGGCCAAGGCTGCTTGCAACTGTTATGTTTTTTAACAGGACCTGGCTAATCTTATCCACCTTTTTTATTACATTTCACTATTCAGCCATGAGGCCAAGGCTTCAAGGTTGTGCGAGTAGCACCTGGAACAGAAAGCAGTCACAGGGATGGTAGATCCCCAACATGGAGAGTCTGGAGTCATCTCTGATATCAGGTGATCTGTTTACGAAGGAAAGTTATCAGAGTCCCTACCTCCGAGGACACTTGTCACCTAGGATAATAGTATGCTCTGAGCTCAGAGGATGCCCTGGCCATAGGGACCAGAGGGGCAGGCTGAGGGTCTCCAATCTGAGTTGGAAAGAACAGTATCCAGAGCCACAAAAAGTGGATATTTTTTAACTCTGGGAAGCGAGAGCCAGGTGATGGTGGCACACAGCTTTAATCTCAGCATTCGGGAGGCAGAGGCAGTCAAAATTCCAATTCAAGGCCAGCCTGGTCTACAGATCCAGTTCCAGGATAGTCAGGGCTACACAGAGAAACCCTGTCTCAAAAAACAACCCCACAAAAACAATAACACCAAAATAATAGGGAAGCCAGGACCTAGAATGAGAACCACCCCGGGTGCTCAGCACGCAGCAGGCTGACCTGGAAGCCCCAGCTGATTAACTGCTTCCTGTTCTCCTGACCTTGCAGCAGTGAGGGAGTTGGCACCTAATGTGGCCCCCTGTTGCCTCGGGGGTCTGCCTTGAAAGTACTGCCTATACTGATGACACCTGGCAGAAAATGTGAAACACTTAGGAAACACAGACCGCAGCGGCCTCTCAGGCTTCACCCAGCAAGGAACTGGTCCGTTTACTCTTAGCCCATGCCAGGATCTGCTCACAGCCTCTGAGACTTTGTGCCTCGATGGTTTACTCACTAAGTAGTTCCATACGCTTATAGGGACCATTTTCTTATCCTCCTGCTTATATTTAGGCCAGGCCCATGTGCAGAAAATACTGGATGTTCCTCCCCCTCCTCCTCCTTCATTAATTTATTTACTTTACATCCTGATTGCAGCTTTCACAACCTCCTCCAAGTCCCTTCCTCACCCATCCCCTACCCCACTTCCCCTTCCCTTTACTCTCAGAAAAGGATTAGGTCTCCCTTGGATACCAGCCTGCCTTGGCATATTGGGTTGAGGCTAGTCTAAGGCACCCAGTTTGGGGAAAGGGGTCCAAAAGCAGGCAACAGAGAGTCAGGCCCTGCTCCTGCTCTTAGGAGACCCACATGAAAACCAATCCGCACATCTGCTATATATGTGAAGGGGGCCTAGGTCGGTCCCAAGCATGCTCTTTGGTTGGTGGTTCAGTTTCTTTGAGGCCCCACAGGCCCGGGTTAGTTGATTTTGTAGGTTTCCCATGGTGTCCTTAACCTCTCTGGCTTCTTCAATCCTTCATCCTCTTCCATAAGATTCCCTGAGCTCCACCTAATGTTTGGCTGTGGGTCTCTGCATCTGTTTTCATCAGCTGCTGGGGGGAGCCTCTCAGATAACAGTTATGCTAGGCTCCTGCCTGTAAGCACAGCAGAATACCATTAACAGTGTCAGGGGTTGGCTCTCTACCATGGGGTGGGTCTCAGGCTGGGCTTGTCAGTGATTGGCCATTTCCTGCTCCATCTTTATCCCTGCACATCTTGTAGGCAGGGCAAATTTTGGGTCAAAGGTTGTGCGGATGAGTTTTTATCTCAATCCCTCCACTGGAAGTCTCGCCTCGTTATAAGAGGTGGCCGTTTCAGGTTCTGTATCCCCTGTTACTAGGATGGAAGTAGCCGAATAGAAAATTAGCTTAAAAAAAAAAATCAGTAGCCCTTCTGTATACAATCAGTGGGCTAAGAAAGAAATTAGGGAAACAACAACCTTCACAATAGGCACAAATAATAGAAACTATCTTGGTGTATCTCTAACCAAGCAAGCAAATAAATACTTGCATGACAAAATCTGCAAGTCTTTGAGGAAAGAGAGTAAAGAAGATATCAGAAGATGGAGAGTAAAAATGGCCATCTTACCAAAAGTAATCTGCAGATTCAATGCAATCCCCATGAAAACTCCAGCACAATTATTTACAGACCTTGAGAGAACAATACTCAACGTTACATGCCAATGGCTAAGGGCACAGTCAAGGGGAGGCTTAACTGATGACTACCCATCTATAAGACAGAAGATAATGTTGGAGCATTCTCCAGATCATGTCTCCCTCTCTAGAGCATCTTCTGAAAACTTGACTGACACTGACATAGGTACCAACATCCTTTCCTTCCTCCTTAGAGACTAGGGAAGGGGTGGAGCCTGTTTGCAATATCCTGTGATTCTTCAACACCCTCTGACCTTAATGAACTCTTGATCTTATCCTGCGCGTGCAAGATCTACTTCAAAAAAACCTCCGGGAGTAAACATTCCTTTTGCCCCCCTTTCTCTAATTTATAATCAGTGAGCAATCATGGGAAGCACTCAATCAGTGTGAATAATCTACTTACAATCTAAGTAATATGGAACACCCTTCGCCCGTCGGCTGTTAATGTCAAGACAACTGGAAAGTGAAAACAAAGTGGGGCTGCAGGTGCCACAGGGCAGAAACAAAAGTAGTCAGCAAAGAGAAAAAATAGAGAGAGAGATGATGGGCAGGAAGAGAGGGCACTGAGAGCCGGCAGAACACAGCCTCCTCGCCAAGCAGGTTAGTCCCTGTTTGCCCCTACCTGTTTCTGGCACCTGGGAAACTGATACTGAGGTGGACAGTCCTCTCTTTTTCTTCATGCATTGACTGTTGCAGTCCTGAGGGTGGAAGCCAGGCCCTGGTGAGTGTTTAGGCAACAACCTCCCAGCCAGCACTGACCCCGGCCCCCCTCCAATCCAGAGAACTGCAGGCTCAGTGTCTCCTGCAAGGCCAGGGGTACCCGGCTGGAGTAGTGTGTTTGGAGGGGGCATTTGCAGGGTCAGAGCAGTCCAGCTGTTCCCACCACCCGACCCTTCCCTCCAGTTCACATATGGCGATGACGCTTTTTTGAGACAGAACATCACTGCCTCTCTTGAGAGTTCCAGGGAAGAGTAAGGACAAACTTCCAGCAGCCATGTAGGTTCCAGGTTCTGCAGGTTCTAGACAAACAGCTAAGGCCCTTCAGGGGCGCCAGCATGGAGACAGGACTTCCCTCGGAGCCAACCCCATTCAATTTCAGGCACTCCCCATCTTGAACTCACAGGAAGCTTGGTATCACTCCTTTCTGCACATCTGGGAACTGAAGATTACGGAATGGCTTAAACAAAAAGTTGAGCAAACTTTTGGGTCCTCCCTTCCCCCAGACTACCAAATCCCAGGTGCCCGCTCTTAGCTATTTATGGCGCACAAGCCAGGTGTAAAGACAGGAAACCATCAAGTAGAGGCATGAACATCACCGCCCACCCTTTCCAGGTGTATTCAGTATGGTGTGCCCTCTTCCTCCTTCCCCCACAGGAAAATGGTCAAGTCCTTAGGGGCGGGGTTCCTGTCTCCACCTGGTTCTCTGGGAAGAAATCTTTCACCTGTACTCCCTCCTCCCAGTAGAGGTGGCGGCTAACAGGGATGTTCCTTCAGTCGGAAGGGGCCTTTGG